CCAGCAAAGCTGGGCCATGGCAAGGGCACCACAGGGGAGGGGTGGGGGTCAGGGAGCACACGTCAGACAAGTGACACAGAATCTGAGCAAAAGGTAAGGGGCAGAAAGACGGGGGACTTAGGAAGAGACACAGGAGCAGAGGAGGAAGTAGTTGTTAGTCATTCTCAGCATACATTTATTGAGTGCTTACTGTGTGCCAGGAAGTAAGCCAGGTGCCAGAAACAGCAATAGGGCCGGGAGTCAGGGTCAGTTACTGAGGAGTGGTGTCACTATTGACCCTGGTTGACACAGGGAACCAATGAACCCTTCAGGCACCACTCAGGACCTAGGCCTTCCCAGCCATGGAAAGGGATTCATCGAGGCAAGACCCTCTCCCTCTTCTCCAGCACACAGACAAGCTCCTACACGCTCCTCAAAACGCGTTCACACCTGACGTGCCCGATGTGCCTGAGCACATCTCAACTCACACGTGCACACACGCACACACTGAGGCACAGCCAAGCAGTTGTGCAGGAGGTGGTACGGAGGTGCCACCTACATGCAGTGACCCGAGTCACCCCGCTTAGCATGAACTGTCGGGGCGCCTGAACACCCACCACTTAGAAATTATGTTGAGACGCTTTGGGGCCAAGTCACTTACTAAAATGTGAGAAATAAACGAAAAATAACAACAAACAAGATGAACAAAGGGACAACTTCTTAAGGCTTTCGCTTCGAGAGGGGTTCTGAGAGGGATACAGGTCAGCGGAAACGGACCTCACTTCCTTTAGTTGGCCACAAGTCTGTTCCGGTCAGAGTTGCCTAAGATAGATGTCCCGTTGTATGGATGGGGTTAGGGTGGGGACGGTCTTTGTTCCCTGTGCTATCCGCAGTATACCACTGTACATGTGCTTTATGCCCATGTCCACCTACCTCCCAGTGAGGGGATCACCTCCATTTTACAGGTAAGGAAACTGAGGCTCAAGACTTGCCTAAGGCCACGGAGACAGTATATGCCGTGGGGCCTCTAACCTCTGCTCCTCCTCTCACTGCCTCCTTGGCACGGGAAGATGGAGCCTTATCTGGGATGGGTCAAGAGGCTGGGAGCTGCCAGGGGCCCGGGTTCAGTCTCGGATCCACCCAGGAGGCTGAGAATGACTGACTTCAAAGGTGAACGTGCTGTCTGCAGAGACCCAGGGGCACAGGTGGTGGCCCCCTGCTGGCAGGGAGAGGCTGGCGCTGTGGCAGGCTACCCACGTGGAGGATGCCACACCTCCTTCTTGACACTGTGTCCTCACCCCAGGGCTTGAGTGAGTTAGGAAATGCGTGGAAACAGCCTCACAGAGCCTACCTGTTCACCCTGACCTTGCCCCCAACCCTGGGGGACCGGGGTGGGGGCTGCAGCCTATGCAAAACCAATTCTTTCACTTTGGGGGTCCTGGGCTCCTAATCCTCACAACCCCACGACCTATACCGTTTTGGGAAAAATGGGCTATCACCCTTGAGCTGGTCCCCTGGCAATTGGAACAGGTAAGGCGCCCCACCACCCCAAGAGCCTGTGAGGAGCCATCATATTCTCCTTCAGAGAAGAGGGAAGCTGGTGTTTAAACAGCCTCTGGGGGCGCCTGGGTGGCGCAGTCGGTTAAGCGTCCGACTTCAGCCAGGTCACGATCTCGCGGTCCGTGAGTTCGAGCCC